TATAACAGGAACAGTTGTTTCCAGATGTACGGGCAGAAGCACCGGGCTTACGTAGACTGGATTGGACAGTCACAAGTTTACTTCTGTTCACTTGCCAATTGGAACTCTCTGGGTTGTTAATAACTATGTTACTTACTCAGCTCATGCATCTATCTCGTTGCGGACATACTATTTGTGCCATACGGAGTACTTGTTTCTCATGATTTAAACGTTTCTTAAATCCCTCCTACATAGTTACGAACCTATTCCAACAATATCATATATACCTGTGAATTCATATTCATATTCATTATGATGCCAGTGACCATACAACAGCACCGCTGGTTTCTCAACCCCCTGTATCCAATCCCCAGTCCACTAGTACCACCACGTCTGGGCTATAGCAGGTATAACTGTGACTTCACACTCATATACCATCACCTCATCATGGACTATCTAACTACGGCAGGCAGCCAACCAGCCCCACGCAGCACCGCCGGCAAAGGTATCACAAGGAACGATCCAGCTTACGATGCCTCTTGGAAGTCCGCAGGCAAGGATGTCAACGCCTTGTACACACGTGCCAGGGGTGAAGCAGTGGGACATAGTCGGTTAAGAGGCCAGTACTTTCAGAGGGCCGCAGAAGCCTACAGGAGTGGCAATAGGCAGGGCGCGGCGGTAGGTACTCGTGTATATATATATGGGTGGATATGTCTTAATGTGTACGTTTGTGTACACGATTGGTTGGGGTTAGGTGTGCTTGTTGATGGATTGGATTGCTATTTGATTTCTTTGTAAAGACGTGCTACAGAGAAAGAGCAGTGAAACATAGTCGGTTAAGGAACCAATACTTAAGAAAAGGGCTGTAGAGTACACGAATATATATTGCATATATATGTATGTGCATATATGCACGTTGTGTACGAATATTGTATGAATATATATATATATATATATATATATTTGTATCACGAGTGCAGATGTGTGTTTGTGCATTTTTCTCAATTCGGTCATGTGTACGCGGGTGAAGCCGTAGAACATAGTCGATTAAACAGTACTTCCTAAAGGTGCGACAGTGGTGCAACTAGACGGGTAGAGCAGCATATTCGATGGATAAGGTAGTGTGTTTGTAATATACATACCTACATTCATACATACATACATACATATACACATACACACATACATACATACATATAAATATATATATATACACACAC